TTCTTTGGTGGGACCCCCCCCCCCCCCCACACACACCGAAGAGCCGAAGAGATGCATGAAAGAAACACTGGTTTTATATGCTTATATTAGAACAGTTATTGTAAACCAGGGGTCTCCAAACTTTTCAGACAGAGGGCCACATTAACTATCAAATTTCAGTTTGGGGGCCAGTTTCTTCCAGGCATGTCTTTGATTTCTCTGGGCAAAGTTTCTCAACCATCACCAACAAACAATTTTTCCTTAGACAAAAAGATCTCCGCGGGCCGGATGAGAGGACTTCGCGGGCCGCATTCGGCCCGCGGGCCGTAGTTTGGAGACCCCTGTTGTAAACTAATGCTGTACATCAAGACATGAGTTGACTGGCTATGTCCAAGGGGCCCAGGAAATTTTAAAGGGGGCCCCTCATCAATCCAAGATAGACATTTTCATTGTGCATTTGTTCTCCATCAAAACATTCATTTTACGGCTTGGTATGAAGGAATGGTAAAATACAAACAATTAAAAAAAATTAACACTAATAGGATCACTATAACAACATCACCATGGGCCCACCAAGTTATTTACCCTGTGGTCCACCGGGATTTTTACCGGTAGTCAGCCCACCCTTCATCGAGAATCCTTTTAGTATAAATTACTAATTTATCCAAACTAACCCCTAATATTCAAAACAAGTGTACTGACATCCAGTGGAGAAAATGTGTAGGCCCTCCAATACATGTTCTGATGAAATTGATTTATGGCGAATTTTTTATTTCTCTAGACGTGTGTAGTATACATGTTGCCCATGGCCGTTAAAAATTAACAGCTTTTTTACGTCTAGTTACAATGGTAGACTGGTGTCGGTCGAGTTAAATACCTTCGGTTTCAAAATTGCGAATGTCGTAACACCACTATTTTACCTTCTTAAATTCATTTCGGGATTTATCAGTTGCATAGGCGCTAGGTTGTTGGTGGGTCAGCCCCATCCCCCCTATCTCCCAGGGGTGGATTGGCTTTGTTCAAGAGGTCTTGGAAAAAAATGTGCACCCCAGAGTCGTAGCGAGGGGAGGGGGGTGCGGACCGCACCGGGTGACACCATTTAGGGGGGGGGGGGTGACACCAAGGCAAAAAATAGCAAAATATATAGAGAAAAACTTGAGGGGGGGTGCAATTCGAAAGTTTGAGGGGGGGGGGGGGCGAGTGCAAATCGAAAACGACGGGGGGGGGGTGCAAATCGAAAGTTTGAGAGGGGTGGGGGGTGTAAATCGAACGTTTGTCCCCGGGAAGGGTCGCTACGCCTCTGGGGGTGACACCATTAAGTGCCGCACCGGGTGACACCCGACCTCGCTACGCCACTGGTGCACCCTCCCCCCCCCTCCCCCACCAACCCGATTAAAATTTTCATAGTGCATTTTGTTTTCCATCTAAGACTAAGGACCAATGTTTACAAAGTCACGGGTCACTTTACAAATCGAAATCCACAATAAAAAAAAAAACAACGAAGAATCGTAAGGGTTTATGGACAAAAATCAATCAATCAAGCTGTATTAGGCCCGTTACAGCACAGATCCTGGCGGCCCACTGAGACTTTACCCAGCCCCAACACAGCCCTCACCCCACCCCAAACACCCCCACCCCACCCACTAGTCTACCAGACGACAGTTGTCTCTCGACGCGCATGTCCTGTTGTGTCTGATTTCACTTTCAGACGCGTGTTTCAAAGTTGCTTCACGAAAAAAAAAAAAAACAACTCAAAACAAACGAGGCGCCATGAGACAATCGAAATTAGCTATTTAGGTCAGATGTGTTCAAAGAGTGTAGCCAGCAGGGTGAATGTGTAAGCGATGTACCTGTGGTAGTAAGCAGTGATGTATCAATTACATACTTGTTTAAGCTAATTCGGTATACACATGTAAGTTTACTCGAGTAATTGCATAAGACAATTTACGGCATAAACTGTTTTCAAAAGTATTTTAAGTGTGGCCTATAGAATAGATTCTAGATCCATATAATGCCATATATTAAAATAATTAAGCATTTCTTACTCGCCTTTTTGTCTTAAATGTGTAGTTTTTAAATTTTGATACTTTAAAAAAATGTATAATTCATTGCAATGATGGCGGATGGAAAAAGAAAATTGAAAACAAATTCTTTAATTCTTTAGCTGATTTTTTAAACTAAGAACCTAAAACTGAGAAGGATAAATGTTGCCTTACTAGAATCTACAAATGTAGGCATACATGTAGACATATTAAACCAAAAAATTTCTTTTAATTTAGCGTGTTCATCTGTCTCGTACACAAACGATAATGGCGGTTTTTATAAAAGAGGTTGTAAATCACAACCCCTTTTATACAATGTTATAGATAGTCTAATAAAAGATAGATCTAGTATTATTTAAAACATGTCTGACGTCACGAAGAACCATTTCCATCAAGTGCGGTGTTTCTTTCAGGCATCTCTTCGAAGGAAATAGAATTTATTATATAGAAATTATATACTTTTACCAGCCCAGTGTCCGACCCCCAGGCAATTTTAATCCGCCCCCCCCCCCCGTAGAAAAAAGTCTGGAAGTGGACAAAGAAATATAATATAAAGTTTCGGTATCCATGTTTACATAGTTGAAACTGGTTGGCTTACTTCAAGTTACAAGATGGCGCAACTACCAAAATAATGTGTTCTGTTTATTTTTAATTATGGTGGTGTAGGTATTCAGCCTTTGTATAAGATATGCCTACAGCCAGAGGCGTAGCGACCTTGCCCGGCGCCTGGGGACAAACTTTCGATTTGCACCCCCCCCCCCTCAAACTTTTGATTTGCACCCCCCCTCAAACTTTCGATTTGAACTTGCACCCCCCCTCAAACTTTCGATTACTTTTTCCAACCCATTTTGGCGCCCCCTAAGGTCGGCGTCCGGGGACATATGTTCCCCCTGCGCCCCCCCCCCCCCCCCATCTCTACGCCTCTGCATACAGCTATTCTTCGTCGAAATGAAAAACTGATTCATCGCTGCGAAGTGTTGGCTAATGCCAAATAGCCTACTCCTAAAAAATATTACAGAATGTCTGTATTTTGGATAGTTTTATGTGCATTTTGCCCAATCTGGGTTTAACAAAGTACAGGAAAAAATTCCACAACACTTTTGCAAAAATGTAAACGTTTCATTAGTGATGGTGTCAACAATGAAGGAGCTGGGGATTTGTAACGGCGGTGGAGACACATTACTTATAGGAGAAAAGTGCCGCAAAATCCTCATCAAGAATTTTTAATGATGGTCGTAACAATTTTTTTCTATCAGTACAAAAACTATGGTTTGAACTGCTAACCCAAAAATCTCGAGTTCGGGTACCTGGTTAGAGTCGTAGCACACCCCTGAGTCCACCTAACTCTGATGGGTACCTGACTTACGTAATGGAAAGTAAAAACGTCTAGGCATAGTGCTGACCACACTGTCATTTCATATACCGAAGACACGGAGACAGGTGAAATCTACTTCACTTGCCCGTGGGCCGTCAGGTTCGAAAGGGAACTTTATTTTTTTTAACTTTACTTACACCCCGCCCCTCGAAGAATTACAAAATATACCCCCCATCCCATTGTCAGAAAGTCTAAACTCCCTCCGCCGTAGATGTGTGACTGTGACCCCAAACAGACATTTCATATACCGAAGACACGGAGACAGGTGAAATCTACTTCACTTGCCCGTGGGCCGTCAGGTTCGAAAGGGAACTTTATTTTTTTTAACTTTACTTACACCCCCCCCCTCGAAGAATTACAAAATATACCCCCCATCCCATTGTCAGAAAGTCTAAACTCCCTCCGCCGTAGATGTATGACTGTGACCCCAAACAGACATTGCACAGTGACATAAATTAGGCCGTAGGCCTAGATTTTTCTATATGCCATCGTGCAATGCAGCTGCTTTAGGCTTACATTTACATGTCGTCCTAAACTGATGTGGAACAAAAAATCCGCCCACTCTGTATGTCTGAAAAAATCTCTCTCTTATACATCTATTTTAATTTGTTTTATTTGTAAATTTCAGTGCATTTAAAAGAACTTATTTTCATGTTAACAAAAGTGTTTATTTAAAAAAAAATCGAACTGTAAATTATTTAGGCCTAGATCCAGTCTTTTATTAATTTTCTCGGGTGTAGTTGTAGCATTAGGTCTAGCTATAGGACACATGCGTGCTAGATACAATTCATTTTGTATTTTTAAAATATATTTTGTACAATTTTAATGAAGTCTAGACCTAGCCTACATGTATTTGATTATCGGTAATTTTGCAAACTAATCAAACAATTTATTTTAAAACGCCAAAATACATATTTTGGCATAGTTTCAATGTAGATCAAGAAACGAAAAAAAAATACCAGAAATAAAAAATAACCCCCTAATTTTCACACATTTTTTAGGAATTACCGATTGTGCTCATATTGATTGATCTATTCTAAAATGTATAAACCTGTTTTTATACACTGAAAAGCACGATGCGTACATAATTTCAAATAACGCAAATAAATATAGCTAAATCTACATAAAATCACTAGATGTCTAGCTGGAGTATGACATAGTTTAAAAAAAAATCAAAATGGCTAATAAAAAAACGGTGTTTAAAATGAAAATATAATTATGTTTTGTCAAGGACAGATCTAAATTCGAGGTTACTTTTCCGTAAACTGTAAACAAACATTTTAGCATCTAAGATGCAATTTTCAAGTTAGGCTAAACTGGCTAATCTATATATCTATTTAGAATCAATATTTTAAAATGTAAAACTGCATTTTACATTTAAATTTAGATTTGAATTTTTTTTTAAGTGTTAAGACTTCTCAGAAAACGAAACTTGTTTATAGACTAGCCTAGGTCTAAATCCGTTTTTTTTTTCTGTCATAAATAATAAGTAGAACGCTGTGCCATCAGGCAATTAAAACCAGCACGCTATTATACGTCACAGCATTGCACGGGTAGTTTTTCCCGCCTCAGTCAATTTTTAAATTGTGTGCTTAGCCTATGCCATCTTACGTCACGCTGTATTTTTTACGTCACAATAACCGGCATTGAGTTTTTTGGGTGTGTAGCCAACTGAGTTTTCTGGCACTGATATATCTAGATTCTAGATCTAGATCTAGAGTCTGGATCTAGCCGTTATTCAGCAAATCAGTGCTTTAGAAGACAATTCATTACTTGATTAAAACTGTAAGTAATTCGATCATTAAACATTAGTCATTAAACATTTAAACATTACAGTTCTAGAGTCTAGACTAGAATCTCTCTGTTTAGTGTTTAATACTGTTTAGCTACGCTGCTACAGCCATTAGACTGGAATCTAGATTCTAGATCTAGATCTAGATCTAGTGTAGAGATCTAGATCTAGAATCTAGATCCTAATTAATTAATTTGATTCTAGATTCTAGATCTAGATCTAGATCTAGATTTATAACTCTTAAGAGCAAAGCTGCCTACTTGACAACTTGTCCTTGAAGTTGTACGGTTTTGCCCGTAATTTTACGATTTTGACACCCGGGATTAGAATCTAGATCTACGATTTTCTAGAGAATCTAGATCTAGATCTAGATCTAGATTCTAGATCTAGAATCTAGATCTAGATTTCTATGCCGCAAAGGTTACGGCTACGCTTTTGCCTTCAGTAGAGTTCAAAATCGACTTAGCGTCGATATTTTTATTTCCTTTTGTTCCCTAGATCTAGATTTAGTTAGATCTAATCTAGATCTAGATCTAGATTAGATCTAGAGATCTAGTTAAAATTTCAGCTGTGTAGGGCCTAATTCCGTTCGATGTTTTCAAGCATCCGTAACAATCCCACCATCCCTTCCCGCCGTAGTTCCCGCCAACGTCGTGTTAGGCCTAGACTGCCCTAGAGTGCCTTAGAGCTAGAAATCTAGAATATAGATCTAGATCTAGATTTCTACATCTAGAAATCTAGATCTAGAATCTAGCTCTAGATTTAGATCTAGATCTAGATCTATGGGGTGGTCGTTGCCATGTATGTTGTGAACTTAATTAACCCCGCGAATGGTCTGTGGTGTTGGCCTTGATCACTGGAAATCTGGTGTCGCCATGGAAAATATCTATTAAATTAAACCTACATCTAGATCTAGATCTAGACCTAGATGTAGATCTAGATCTACTCTTTATTTTTCAAGAAAAATAGTCTAAAGTTTAAATCATAAAATAAATTATGCGAGCGTCGGTTTTATATTTATTTAGATCTAGATCTAGATCTAAATCTATATCTAATCTACCTAGATATAGAATCTTGAATCTAGATCTAAGAATGATCTGGGTGTAGGTAAAATGCGCGACGGGAAGGGCGAGATAAAGCTAAGATTGAATTACGGGTAAAAATAAAGAGACATAAATCTAGATTCTAGACCTAATTTATTGAGGCATGTTGTTGATGTGCGCGAAGTTAAGTAATCACTAAACAACTATCTAGATCTAGACTAGATCTAATCTAGGCCCATCTAGATCAATCACGGATAATGTAAAACAAGAAATATGCTAATTCTAAACATCATCTCCCGTGTCATCGGCTTCTCACGTTTTCTTGTGAGCAGGAAAAAAAACCTGACACGGTCGAGGGGTCATTGAGGGGGGGGGGGGGCACTGTTGAAAGTATATATTTTCTATATAAATTATATAAATTTCATTTCGTTCGGGGGGGGGGGGGGCAAAGCCTGGAAGAAACTCTGATCATGACTTAAATATTTATCTAAATTTGTCTATTCTAGAATAGATTCTAGATCTTCATGATTGAGCTATTCTGAATGCCAAACATTGCCAAACTCATGTCATTCTCAACATTTAATTAAATAATAATTAGATCTATATTCTAGATCTTGTCTAGATTTGACAACATTTTATAAGGGAAAGCAACACTTTTGGGTATAGATCTAAATGGTAGGCCTACATAACACTTGTGTGAGCAGGGGTACATTAAACAAGGTAGTTACTAGAATCTAGATTATTCTAGATCTACCTGCCGCGGCAACTTTGCGTAAATTCAAGAACTCGTCTTGTAATTCATCAATTCATTTTTAACATCAAGGCATCAAGGGAATCAATGATTGCTAGCCAGTGTGGTCTCCTCTTTCAGCTCAGGGAAATTATGCCGGAGTTCGTTTTCATGCCATTCGTGATGCCCTAAGATATCCTCTTTCAAATAGATTCATTTTATATTCAGATTCATCTACCACAGGCTCATTATGACTATGCAGAGTTTTTCGTGACCCATAGATTCGGAACTCGTGCTAAATTATATTCTATAGATCTAGCTCTATTTTAGAGTATATATCTAGAATCTAGATACTAATTAATTTTCTCCTGTTGTGTTAGTCAACTCTATTCGAGGCCATTCCGCAGAATTATCCAGTATAGGCCTAGTCTAGACTAATCTAGACTGATTGTAGAATTTAGACAAACTCTAGCGAGATTTAGATCTAAATTCTAGATTTCCTAGAATCTAAATCTTGCCTAGAATCTAGAATAATCTAAATCTAGTGAAGTTCTAGTTTTAAATTTTATCAATCTAGATCTACTTGTATTTAAATTGACTTGGTGCTGCAGTTTTGAATTTAAAAAACGCAAGATTTCTAGATCTGTCAGAATCTTTAATTATATCGTATTGGTATCCATTTACTTTTGTCCTTGAATTGATGTCGGTGTTAGGTTTTTGCTCGTTTTTTCTTGACTAAGATTAGAAAATTCTAATCGACGAGCAATGCTAATGAAAGCGCTACGCTTAATACAGGTAGATCTTTATGCTAGTCCTGATTTTTTGGCAAACCTAGATCTAAATTTTGAATCTAGTCACGATTTTAGACGTTAATTTTAAGTGTTTAATCCAGAGTTCTGGAAAATCAAGCTTTAGATTTTTATCTAGATTCCAAATCTAAATCTAGACCCCCTCTCTATCTAGATCTAGATCTAGATTAAAATTAAATTATCATACGCAGACCAGGTCATTCAGACTGCAATCAACCTCACACTTCCATTTAACCAGCGCTTCAGCAGGAAGACAAAAACGAATGGCTGGAAAGTTTTATAACTTTGTCTTTTGTTCGGAAAGATAATAGAACAAGGCAGAAAAGCAATAAAGCACCCGTCAAATTCGCCTCTAGTCTAGTCCGCGCACTCTTGTGTTAGTGCAATGCTCACAGCGACTCTGTGAGGTGTCGGCAGACGTCTTTGACACGTTTCGCGCTGCGGCTTAGGCCTTATGGCCTACGTGACATGCGCCCCCCCCCCCCATCCCCTCCCCAATGAAATTTATTCTAAACAGCATAGGCTACTAGCGTCTATAGTTTTACTTTACTGATCAAAATGTTTTTGTTTACAAACCGGTGTAGATTTCTAGATATAAATAATACTATAGAGCTAGGCATATAAGGCCTATATTAGAGTTATAGTAGGCTTAAAGCCTAGTCTACATCTAAGTTCTACATAGATTACAAATCAGGAGCTAGATCTAGTCGACTGGTTTACTAAGGAAGGGGTGGGGGTCCATGTTATATCCAAACGTATAAATTTAACATTGACATACTTAAATTGACAAGACACGAAACTTTTTTGTAACCTGCATACACAATGTAGGCTTTAGATTACAGTTTAAAACGGAAGTGCCCATGTTTTGAAGAAAACTAACACGAGCACATACTTATGCTAATTATTCAAATCGCGGTAGGCCTATCTAGATCCATAATTCTGCGGTAAGCCCAAGTAATGAAAGGAAACAAAGGTAATGAACTTGGTGTGGCCTTACGACTTATTAATTATAATACTGCATACGACAACAACAAATAGGCATAAAACTCTAGGCCTAATACTTTTTAAGCTCTTATTTCCATGCAAAACTAAATAAGTTTCTACCCTTCATAGTTTTTTTTTTAAATGGGGATAATCTTTGTAATTGAAATAAGAGCTCATCACATAGGGTCTATTAATAATTTATAGGCCTAAATAATTTTTTGTGGACGTCCATTTGAGGGGCGGAAACTTGCGGTAGAGCGTGGTTTTCTAGGAAAGGTGGTATTCGTCCAAATGTGGGCGCCTGTGGAGTTTTTTTTTGTGTGGACGTCATAAATTGGCGACTCCACTCCCCTTATATGCTTATATTAAATATTAGAGGCCTACTCATTTAAAGTCCCGCGAATGACATGTGGAGTGTATATTTAGACAGCTGAAATAGGCGTATTAGTTGTAGATTACAGATCTAGAGTCTAGATCTAGTAGTACATAGAGGTGTCTGGGGAAAAAAAACGTGGTGCACAGTAGGCTAATGACGATGTGGATCTTCAGAGGCCTGCCTTAAATCTATCATTAACAGGTTTGAGGTCTAGATTTAATTACGCAATGAAATGTCACGTGTGTAGGCCTAGTGTGCTGAAGCCTCTTTTTAAAAATCCTATCCGCTAAACAACATTCCAATCTCACTCGTTTATTTATATTTATTTTATGCATTTAGATTCTATGTAGATTCTTAACTACTTAATTAAAAAGCTGATGCCATTTAAAAAAATTTCATGGCATTTGTTTTTCGTTTAGATTTTAGGCTTGAGTAAATCAAGTAGGAGAAGACCTAGCCTGAGTCTCGGCTTCGCCTTCAACGTCTAAGCAGATTCATCTTCCGTTTCCTCTTGAAAATGGCCGGGTTTCCTAAAGTAAGTGTGCACTGCATTTTCAAAACTCGTTTATTTAAAATAATGTTGCAATACTTTCTTCTTGTTGTCTTTTTGATGGATTGAGATATTCTATTGATCGATTAATAGCAGTTTAATCAGAACGAATTAAACAGATTAAACTTTTAAAGTTTGTATCAGCCTTTATTAAATATTAACTTAAATAAAATAAATAAAATAACTTTAACTTGTCTTTTAGCCTACTTTAAATGACTTTTTTAGGCCTAAAGTAAATAAATAAACACTTTAAGTAAATCTTTCAATAGATCTAGACTTCTAGATATAGAACTTTTTACATCCAAATTTTAATGACATTGACAATAAATTGAAATAGATCTAGATTAATACTTTAAGTTTAAGATTAAGTAAATCTTTCAGTAGATCTAGATCTAGAATTTTTTAGATCCAAATTTTTATGACATTGACTATAATAAAATATAAATTGAAATAAAATAGATCTAACAACTCTAGATTTTCTTAATCTCTAGATTTAATATTCATTCATATTTCAGTTACCTTTGACTTAAGAATATAGATCTAGGTCTACTAATAACTAATTAATAGTAATAGATCTAGATCTAGGTTATTTCAATAACATGGTTCTTTGATAGGGCAGAAAGTTAAAAATTAAATTCAAAATTGATATAGACCTAGATCTAGGCCTATTTAACTTACTTTTCTTTCTAAAACTTGAAATCATTTTGGGCCTATTTTAAATACCAATTTTCTTTTAATTATGTAGAAACTTCAAAATTATTGTAAAAAAAGCTTCTGAAAATTCAGTAGTTTCATTTCAGAGCATCTAAGGCTTTTTAATCACTGTATTATTCTTAGACCATAACACTAACAGGATTACAACAAATCAAATATTTTAAATATTGGCAAATGTTTCTGTCAACTGACACAGCCTGCTCATAGATCTATAAGTTAGGGCTTAGCTGGTTACCTAGACATGCTCTCAGACTTTGGTAAATGGTAGTCTTTTTAAAGGTTTCATTAAAAATAAACATACAATCACCTCTTGGATGTTAACAATGGCTGGTCAAAGGAGGTCAATCTTGTATTAAGGTGCAGCCTCTTCTAGTTTAATGTAATGGCAGTCATGGAACTTGGAAATCTTGGGTATAGAATCAACATCCTCTCTAAGAAGCAAAAGTTTGTGTTAAAAAGTTTTTTGTGTGTGCTGTGCTCTAAAAGATAATATAAGCATATACCCAATAACATGGCAGGTTTACTAACTGAACTAATACTTTACTTAGACAGCACATTGAGCTCCAGTGTATGATAATGTGCTCAGAATCAGTAATAAACTTATCCGAGGACCCAGGAACTCAGAATTTGTATCAAGTTAGAAACCAAATCTTTATTTATCATTTTATGGCTGTTGCAACTGACTGCAGCAATGAGTGTCGAGTAGGCCTACATCAGTTTGTGATGTACTTGTTTTAAGTACCCTACTGGCAATGTGGCTTTGCATTAGTAGTTTAATTTTTAAAAAAAGAACTGAATATTATAGGAATCCATTTTTTTTTTAAAGTTCTAAAAGCAATATATGAAAATTAAATATTTAAAATTTTTAAATGTCTCAAAAAGCTGTTGCTCTTTAAACCATAAGTGATGATCTGATTTAAAATTTGATAGTGTATTAAAACTAACAGAGTACATGAGCATTTTTTCTTGAAAAAAAATGCAGATGGACAACACAGAGTAAATAAATAAATTAATATATTAATAACAATATCTTAGTAAATGTTAATGAATATGATTCTTATATTTTTGTAGGATGACTCAGACATGATTCCCATGGGACGAGCAAGGGGTAGAGGTGGCAGAAATAAAAAGTTTCCTGTTGACCCAGAACCTCCTCTTATGATGCCAGAAAATGTAGTAATATATTTAATTATTTTATGCTTTTTTTCCTTTCTACATTTCTTTTGAAATTATATCAAATTAAAGAAATGTCAAAACTCATCTATGAAATTGCTATGAAATTTATTGCTTGTAAAAAATCTAAATTTATAAAAAAATAATTACTGTAGTGTATTTTAACTTTGATCATGTATATATAAAATTACTACTTCCATTTTTTAGCCAGCTGCAGGTGATGCCATGCCTTTAGGCTCTTCTAGAGGTAGAGCAAGAGGCAGAAAAAGAACTGATGAATCAGAGCCTTTGGTGGGTAATAAGCAGGTAGCTGCTGCTGATCCAGTGTATACTCCAGCAAGTACCAGTGCACGGCGAGAGCTATCTCCAACTGAAGACTTATCAAGGTTGAGTCTCAGAACAAGAAGAACAGCTTTTGATCAATATATTGATCATCCATGGAAAGACGAGGGCAAAGATACAGTGGGTAGGGTATAAGCATTGTTTACGTGATATTTAGTTTTTGAATATTGCAATGTTTTCAAACTAGTTGTTGAATTGCTTGACAATTTTTCTCTAGGTTAGAATCTGTTTTTTAAGTAATTGTTTTAGTATGTTTTGAACCATCTTATTAATAGTGTCTTTTGTTTTTAAACAGGAAAATCAGGTGACCATATTATGCTGTATACTAACTATTTTGAAGTCAATCTTGGTCTGGATCAGAAAATATTCCAGTACCATGTTTCCTTTAAACCTGAAGTTGAAAATGTCAGAGTGAAGTTTCAGTTAATTACCTCTTTAACTGAAGTAGTTGGGACAGTCAGATGCTTTGATGGCGGCATCCTCTATTTGCAAAGACTTCTGCCGAGAGAGGTGAGTTTTTATGAATTAAACCAAATAATGTTAAGCAGTTATTAGTTACTGGCAGTTTATGAGTTTAAGCAAAGGAAGTATTTCAACATTGAATATTTAGAGATTTTGTCTGCTTTATAACTTTGAGAAATATTTTTCTCTGAATTTATTCCATGTTTTTTTTCAGGAAGTTGAGTGTGTAGCTCCTCGTGCACATGATGGTACACTTGTTACCATAACAATCAAATACATTTGTGAAATCCACAAAAATACTCCTCAGTTCTTGCAGATTGCAAATCTCATGTTCAAAAAGTGAGTAACATAGAGGTTATTATAATGATAAAATTATTGTAATTAATTTTTGATAAATGTCATTTACCCTCATAAAAAAATATTTTCAGGTCCCAGATGGCACTTGACATGAAGAAAATTCGAGATCACTACTTTAATCTCAAGTTGGCTATTAAAATTCCAAAACATAGGTATGTTTCTGGCTGTTACCTTACCTGCATTTTTTTCAATGTCTACAATTTTTTGCACAAGTTAAAAATTTTTTTTTTTGTTTATTTTCAGAATTGAAGTAATGCCAGGATTTGCCACATCAATTCTGAACTATGATGGTGGAAATTTACTTGGAATAGATATTATTCACAAAGTTCTCAGATTTGACACATTCTTGGATGCTCTTTATTTGCTGTTTGAGTCATCTAGGAGGAACACAGAAGAGTTTCACAAAAGAGCTATTAAAGAATTAGTGGGGTCTATTGTCATGACAAGGTAGTTTATTCTATTTTATTTTTAATTGTTTTGAAACACTGTCAAGTGGAATAGTTTACATTCGCGGTTTAGTTCAGTTTCAAATCAGTTTTTAGACCTAGTCTTTCAAGGAAATTAACCTTCTTTGTGCATTTACAATCCATCAATTTGAACTAAGATCCACTCTTTTTCATGTTTTAGTCATAAAATGTTACCATAGTTTTTTAATACAACTATTATCATACGAAAAATTAAAATATGTTTGGAATTAAGTGCCTCTTTTTTTCTTTCCTAATGTCTGAGATTCTAATTTCAATTTGTCCATAAAAAAATCTTAGTACAAATAATGTTGACAATTAAAATTATGTAGAATGCATTATTTTTTTCATATTTGATAATTATTTTAGGTATAACAACAAGACATACCGTGTTGATGATATTAACTGGAATGCTCGTGCAACTGATACATTTGAAAAGAATGGCGAGCAAATGAGTTACATTCAGTACTATCAACAGGTTTGGCTAACTAGTTTGATGCTAGTCTGAATTGTTTTGTTTCAACATTCACGTGTATATTTATTACCAAAAATCTGTTTCTTTGTTTTCACTGTGCCATACATAAAACTTCAAGCCTATTTCTTTTATAATTACAGCACTGGAATATAACTGTAAAGGATTCAGATCAGCCTTTACTGGTTACCAGACCCACTGAACGTGACAAGAGAAGAGGACAGAAAACTAATCTTTACCTGGTTCCAGAGTTGTGTGTGATTACAGGTAATTTGGCTACAGAAAAAACTACTTTCATCAGCTCTTACTTTCCTTACTTCTTTTCATCTAATGTTGGTAAAATTTATATCACATCTTAATTATAAAATGAAATAAAAATATTTTGGTAATTCTTAGTTTTAAAAATCAAAACCCAAATGTTAAGTGTCAATGCTCTCAAAATTTCATGAAATAATTGTCTTGTTTTTATATTATTGTATTACAGGCTTAAGTGATCAACTTAGATCAGATTACAATGTAATGAAGGATCTAGCTGCCATCACAAGAATAGGACCTACAGATAGACTTAAACAAATTCAAAGGCTGTGTGAACAACTCAACCAGTAAGGTTTAGTGTAAAGGGAAACAATTTATATGCCTCCCTCAAATTTTGAAGTTTCTTGTAAATAAATAAATTTAATTGATCTTTTTCTAGGTCACTGTTTGATGTATATATAACCTGACAGTGTCCACTTTTATCAAGTCTTTAAATTTTGGGCATCATGCAAGTTCAGCAGCTCTGTGCTTTGAGCTTTTTTTTTTGTGGTTATAGATCTTTTATAGATTTTTAATAATTTCTTTCACAGATAATTTTACAGTTTTCTCCTCTCTTGGTATTTTAAAATCTTGTAGCGAGGCTACTAGTAACAAATAGCAACCAGGATTTTTGTTATCAATGGGAAACTGTTAACAATTTTTGTCAGATTTCAAATTTAAAGTGAAAGAGAACATGACTTAACAAACCATATCATTTGAGCAAAATGATTCTAAATAAACTTTGGGTTTTATTAAAATTTCTTGCTAAGAAGTTACATTGACATCTTCTCACCCTACATTAAAAAAGTCCCAATTTTAAAAGAAATCATGATATCTTTCTTGTAATCTTTGATAAGTTAAGTAAATATTAATATAAATGTTCAAAGGTCTGAAAAAGTTGGAGAGATTCTCAGGCCATGGAAGATTGAAATCAGTGATAAACCTGCTAAGATACCTGCAAGACAGCTACCTGCTGAACGTCTTCTAATGAAAACTAACAGGGTATTTGCTTACTGCATTAGCTTTGCCACATTGTAACTTTCATACAAATTATAAGATTTAATTTAAAAGTTTAACAGCTTTACTGTGTTATTTTTTTCAATTTTTTTAGAAAGTGGGCATATTTAAAATGGAATTGTTTTAATTTTCAGGGTGAAATCACAAAAATTTCATATGACTCAAGGAAGGCAGATTGGAGTCGAAACATGAGGAACATATCACTTCTGAATTCTGTTAACATGGATCAATGGGTGATCATCTTTCCATATGCAGCTTCTCAGCCATCAGCAGAGTTGAGTGAAACTTTTACCAAAGTTGGCAAAGGAATGGGCATGAGGATTGTTGATCCGGTTAAGTAAGTATAATTCAATTAAAACTGTTAATTAGGACATTCACTGATATAATTTTTACTTTAAACCACTTGGAAAATAATCAAATTGTAAAAGTTTTAAGCTTACAATGTCTACATTTCAAATTCTCTAGGGTTCAAATACTTGATGATCGCAATGATTCATATCTTCAAGCCATCAGACAAAACCTTAATCCCAGAGTACAAATGGTTGTTTGTGTGGTACCTAATTCTAAAAAAGATCGCTATGATGCCATTAAAAAGTGTTGTTGCATTGATAATCCTGGTAAGCAAATTCATTTGTGGACATTAAATTTGATTAGTTTGTGGAGTTCTGGAAATTATTCACCCATTTGAGGTCTATGTTTTATAACATTGTGATTAACTGATTGTCTCCATTAAATTTGTATTAAAAAAATCTAATAAAATTTTGTGTTTTAAAAATAGTTTTATATTTTTAAGTGCCTAGCCAGGTTGTTATCCTGAAGACATTACAGAAGAAACAAGGATTGATGAGTGTAGCCACCAAAATTGCAATTCAGATGAACTGCAAAATGGGAGGTGAAGTGTGGGGTGCTGAGATTCCGGTAATTTTGGCTGTCATCTTACTAGCTTTTTTTTTTCCATACTAAAAAATGCCTGAAACCACATATTTTTGATATCGTAATTTGTTTTTATTCTTATTCTAAAGTTGAAAGGCTTGATGGTGATTGGCATTGACACTTACCATGACTCAGCCCATAAAAACCAATCAGTTGGAGCTCTTGTGGCATCTCTTAATAAAGAGTGTACTAGGTATTACAGCAAAACTGAATACCATCCTACCAAGGACGAATTAATGCGAAACTTGCAGCCACTCATGAAAGGTTAATAGTTTATACATTTTCAAATAGGGCTGAAGTATGTTATTTTCAAAGTCAGATATATTTATTGTCTTATAGTCATTGAAAAAAAACCATTGTAAATATTATTTTGGCATCTAATTGGAGGTATATATTGCAGGTGCTCTGGAAAAGTACTATGAAGTAAATGGAGCAATGCCTCAAAAAATTGTCTTGTATCGTGATGGTGTTGGAGATGGTCAGCTTTATACAGTTTACAAGTCAGAATTTGAGCAAATAATGAGCGCTTTTGCAGAAGTTGGAGTAAGCAACTCTAGGTATGTAGAGCATAACTATTCTTCTTGCTATTACCACCAATAACAAAACTTAAATTTGCCTATCTTGTTTAAATTGTCTTTCTTTGGTAACCTAAAATAAAAACTGAATGCTAGCTTATTTTTTTATGTAATAACACTATGGAAGAAAAATATAATTTATTAGTGGGTCTTACCACAGACATTTGTGTAATTTTAATCTTGGTATAGTGAATTAATAAGAAAACACAATGGTAAAGTTTTAAAATGTATGCTACTGTGAATGATCATGTCTCATTATTTGGGCCTAAACCACTACTGATTTTCTAATGAATTTACAAATTTATGTTGATATATATAGCAAATCTCCAATTTCATCTTGTTAACTTTTTATTTTCTTCCTCCAAAAATATAATAGCTTGATATTTCATGACAGTAATTTTAAAAACTTTAATAATCAAATAATTTTTCTCAATTCTTTATTTTAAATTGTTTCAGACCTGGTTTTGCATTTGTTGTGGTCAAAAAAAGGCTCAACACTCGGTTATTCAAACTTGAGGGTGATTGCCAAACCAACCCACCACCAGGAACAATTGTAGATCAGTTTATTACCAAACCAAATTGGTTAGTATGAGCAATCAATTTTAGAATTGGTAACTCGTTACAAGAGTCTATAGCTTAGCTTAATTCTTCAATATAACTTTCAATTCTTTGAGGGCAGGTTAATTTAAAACTAAAGAGCAATCAGCCTTAACCACTAAGCAGGAAGTCCTTTAAAAACTACATTTTGATTAAATCTAATATTAAAGATTATAAAAAAAAAACCACCCACATAGTTTAGAGTATCAATTTATATTGCATCTGTTCTGGCAATATATACTTAAACTCTGATAAAATGGTCTAATGATGTGGAAATGCATATCAGTATATTATAAAAATGGCAAACACATTTGCTTTGAATGAATATTTAACAAGTTTAAAAAAAAAAAATTAATTATAAGAAATAAACATTCATTTTCTAATGATAATTAGTTTTCTTTTTTATAAAAGATAGTACATTTATTGACACATTCTTTTTTGTTTACAATTAGGTATGACTTCTTCATTGTGAGCCAGTCCATTACACAAGGAACTGTTAGCCCAACAAATTACAATGTGATTTTTGATGACACTGGACTACAACCAGACCACATTCAGAAGCTCACCTTTAAATTATGTCACCTTTATTTCAACTGGCAGGTAAGGAGTTAAACTAACTTAGCTGAATTTATATTTTCAGACCTGACAGAATAAATATAGTGTGACCAGGTCTATGCATTTCCACCTTTACTTTCTGTAATCTGAGTGAGGCAACTATAGTTTGATGGTTGCAGTGACGTCCTGGGTCTTAACTTGAGACTTAAGCAGTGGGTGCCTGAGTGCTCATCCAAACAAAATCACTAGTGATAACACAATTTTATACATGATACATAATGAATTTACTTCTTAAACACTTAAGCCATTTAACATCAGTTGTGTAAAAAAACAAGTATAATTTTAATTGAATATTAGAACATTAAATTTTTGAAAAAAAAGTAAGCAATTAAATTAGGGTAGCCAACTTTTCATAATCTAATTCATTTATTGCATTTTTCAGGGCACCATCAGAGTACCTGCTGTATGCATGTATGCACATAAATTGGCATTTTTACAGGGACAGTCCCTCCATCGTGAATTTTCCAAGTGTTTGTCAGATAAATTGTTTTATTTGTAATCAGTAGACCTTTGTTTACGGTCTTTTAAAGGTGTTTCCACACTTCCTTTTGTTTGAAAAAAATGTGGTTTTATTGAGATGATTTCTAGTTAAAAAATCTTGAAAATCTACATATTCAGAGGCATTTGTAATAAGATAGTCAAAAAAGATACATGATTAATTAGATTATGACTAATTTTGTCATTGTTTAAATTAATCTTGGAAATAGGTTGAATTATTTATGGAAATTTGACTACACACTGTTTTTGGGATGTAAATATCTGGTTTTATCTAGGTTTTCAATTACATCAGTGTTTTTGCTTTTATATAAGTTATTTTGACTTTTTTAAGTTTTAAAAATTTGTTAAATTGTTTTAAAAATACAGGTTTATTATAATTTTAAGAGCTTTTTAAAAATGTAGGTCTGTTTTATTCCTATGTCAACATCTAGTGCTTAAAATATTTTCTCTGTGATTTTTTTCTTTCTTTTTCTTTCATGGTTACACAAAAATTTGAAATTATTTTAATTCTTTTTAAAATAATTGATTCTGTATGTGATATCTTTTTATTCAATATTTTACTTTTTCTTTTGCTTTTTGTCAAATTGTGCATGTAGTTTTTTTAAAAGTTAGTCTCAGTGGCTAAATATGTTTATCCTTCAGGAAGAAGGTGGTTTCAAGTTACGTTTTGTTGTTTTACTAGTGCCTGGGTTACATGATTTGAATTTTTTTATTTAAACCTGTTTCATTTTATAACATGTTTAACAAAACTACAGCAATGGTAGCATTATACCTTTTAAGTATCTAAATTCAGAACTCGTGCATTGTGAATTTTTATTGTGCTACACCAGAAACTCAAATTTTGAATTTTATTGCTTGAGAACACCATAATATTTGAAGTGTGAAAATAATTGTTGTGCTCTCTGCCATAATAGAAAAAAGTTAATGTTATGGTAATATGTTAACAGTTAACCTTCTTGCTATTTTTGTAGTATGAAACAATATATAACCAACCTCATGTCAAAATAGGTTTGATCATTAGCAAGAGATGTAAACAATGAACTTAATTTGAGAGACTAATGTAAAATAAATTTGTCATTTTTTCAAAATGCTTTTATTTGTGATCCTCCACTTCTTGAGTAAATTGCCATGTAATGCTTGCAATTCGGAGATAAATTCAAAATGTGAGGTGTAGTATGTGAATGTGGAGATCGATTTATTTCAAATAATTCCTATATGCACACTACACACTTGTAGTTACTCATTTTATGATTCAAGGTATCAGTTTATTAATGGTTCTAAATAGTAATAGTCCCAGAACACAAAATTAGTAACTATCCTTGACCCAAATCAGTGGAGGATCACACTTATATGTTGCAGCATTTATTGTATTTTCTAATGTTTGAGTTCAATACATTTTCAAGTTAATAAATTTATGTAAAAAGTCATTTGTATTTGTTTTTTTTTGTATGTGGTGACAGTGATAATACACAAATTCTCTTGACCTGAAGCTGTAATCTGTAGGCTTACATGTGCACAACTAGATGACAATGCAGAAAATTGCATCCTGCCATTGTCATGATTATCATTCTCTAGCCATTGTCTATCAGTTATTGTGGGTTTTTTTTTCTAGTAATTTTTACAATAATTTTTTGTCTGACAGACAAATAATTGATTATTTTTAAACAAGATAATCACAAGTATTTAGAAATGGGTTCACAGAGTAAACTAAAACTAATCAAATTAAAAAAGTTGTGATTACATTTATTATGCAATCTATTTTAATAAATAATATTAAATAAAAATATGCATTTCAATTCAACCTCAAAAGAGATTGATTGGGACTTGAAACTTAAGTAAATCTCCTAAATGTAAGTCCAGCATCAAGCAGTGAAGTCCTATTAACATGCTTTCTTTCATATTTGTAGATTAGTCTCATCAAATGGAATGTTTCTTTAACAAATATTTCTCTAAATATCTTGCTCATAAATTTTCACCAAATTTTCACTTGTGGCAGGGTAACCAGTAATGGGGCAGAATTTATTTTGACGGAGGTGGTCACTAATGCAGGGATAACAAAAAACAAATCTGAAAGAAGAGACAAATGGATTGACATCTGTGTTAATAGGTAGGAAAAGTCTATATAATCATACTAAATTTTTAAAAAATTATTTTAAAAAATTTAGGAAGCGATAAAATTATAGCTACATTTTCAAAAATTGAAGCCGTTTGGGAACCATCGATTACACTCATTTTCATATTTTTGTATTGAACATAAGCCGTTGAAAATGATTTTGAATTATTGTATAAATTTAAATATTTTATAAAACTGCCCTTAACCCCACCTTGAACTGAACTGAAGTGGCCAGGGAGAGTAAAACGATGAAATCCATAACATTTATTGTCCATGATAAATACTGACAAGGTGATCCAAGAAAACAAAATGGCGAACAAGGGAATATTTTCAGTTCGATTCAGGCTTTCAAAATTCGTTTGTATCCCTTTTCATTGTAGTTGGCTTATTTTTTTTATGACTGTTATGCTCAGATTACTAATATCTAACATTATTCTTTATTAATTGTTACCAATGTTTTTGTAGAATGCTTTTAACGCACGTTTCATTATTTTTGTTTGTTAGGCCTGTGCAGTGACTACTCACTGTGACTGTGAGTTCTGTGAGTGCTCTAAGCTAGAGATCTAGCTAGATCTAGATCTATAAGTTTCTAGATCTGGATCATCTAGACTAGATAGATTTATATCGAGAATCTAGTACTAGATTCTAGAAGGAGTACTCTAGAGATCTATTCTAGATCTAGATCTATATATAATCTATTATCTAAAATCTAAATCTAGTAGATCTAGATCTAGAATCTAGAATTTTTTAGATCTAGATCTAGATCTAGACGTAGACTCTAGCTAGATCTAGATCTAGTATAGAATCTAGATCTATATACTATATAGACATCTAGAATCTAGATCTAGTCTAGTAGTAGATCTAATATGTTACGGCTTTTTAATATGTTTAAGTTTAATTATTTATTAAATATAAAAATACTAGATCTAGATCTAGATCTATTCTATTTAATTTATAAACTTAATACTTAGCCTAATACTCAATAATACTAATACTAACTAGATCTACTAACTAGATCTACTAACTAGATCTAGATCTTATGTCTTATAGTTGGTTAAGTAACTTTATATTATTATTGTAAGACAGTAGATCTATTATTAAGTATAAGTTAAGTAGAAGAGATCTACTCTAGTCTAGATCTAGAAGTTATATATTTTATAAAAATCTATATTAATATTAAATAATTCAATAAGTAGATCTAGGCCTATATTCTATAATGATTGTACTAATAAATAGTAGTAAATAATAGTAAATATATTTACTATAGTAGTAGTATTAGTAAGTAATAAGTAAGTATAGTTACTCTATACAGTTACTAGGTATATTATAATAATACACACAACCTCATAATTGCAAAATCATGACATTAGTGAATAAATTATTTAGTAGGCCAATAATTTCTATATTAATTTAATTTTAACAGGCCTAGTTAATACTTACTAAATTACTAGATCTGTACAAAATACATTTTATTTAGGTTAATATAGGCTATGGTACAGATGACAGTCCTAATACTTCAATTACATTGTTATTATGATTAGGGCCTAGTTAAGGGTAATTACTAATTAGACTTATGATAACTTATGTTAGTCTAATAACTAATAGATTCATATCTAATAGCAGTAGGTCTATAGTATTGTGAAAAAAATAAAGTATGCTTAATTTTTACAGTTGTCATATTACTTTTAGTTTCAGTAGGCCTATTAAGACTGTAGATTTAGATGTAGTAGCTTAGTAGTAGTCTAGTAGGCCTGTTAGTAGGTAGTTAGTATTAGTATGTAAGTTAAACAAAGTTAACTAGGCTTAATAAGGCTACAATTTTAAACTGTAAAAATTACATGTAGGCTAAATAAAAGGTTACAGACTAGTACATTAAATAATATCCAAAATTTAAGTTTAATCTAGATTAGTAGTCTAACAGTAATTTTAGCCTCTAATAATAATAGTAAAAATTACTGAATAGAAGAGTAGGCTTACTAGTAAAGACCTTATTTTAGTTCTACTTAATTAACTTAGTCTTATGTAGTGATCTTTAGAACTTAAAATGCAGAATAGTTGATAAAGCCAAAAGGTGTCACTTGTCATAGATGGATTAACTTACTAATCAAATTAATATAATTATCCTAATATTTATTTTAGTATGTGCATGAATTAATGATAGTTATAGTAGCCTAGTTTGAATATCAATTTTCAACTAATTCCTGAGGTGGCTAAACATAAGTAGTAGATCTTTATTGATATTTTTTTCTTTTTTTTTTAATGATATATACATGACTTTTGGACTCTTTTGAAGGCCTATTGTATATAATGACAAACTCCTTACATTAAATACATAAATACACATCATTGCTTTATGATCCTTATAAGACAGACACATATTTTTATTTATAACATTAAGAGTTGAAAGTATGTAAACATAATGAGTTTAATATAACAGTTTATGAAATTTATTTATGTTTTTTTAGATACTGTGGATTATACAACTGCATACAGAGAAGACAAAAGTCAAGATGAAGCTCAATTTAAAACTGATCCAAGGATACATGTTGGACCCAAGAAAACTTGTTCATATTGAACAACTATTTTTTATTATGTTAGTTCTGAATGAATATGGCAATTAAAAAAAGAAAATCATAAACTTTGTTATGTTTATTTTTTTTTCAGCACTGGTTGTGTGTGCTGGTTTAAGCGGAAACTATATTATTTCTACCTTAACTCAATAATTAACTTAAACTGGCGAACTATAAATAGTTTTTAAGAATATGGTGCTGAAGTAGATTTCACCTAGTTTTGTTGCCTCTCCATATTAATAAATTGTATGGTCAGCAAAATGTCAAAGAGCTTTTACTAAGTTCTACTGTCCATAACCAGTCAGGTACCAGTTAAAGCTGCTTTGAAATTGAATCAGAGACAACCTAAAGGATTAAAATTTCAACTCAAGAACTTTTGCTTTAGCAAATGTGTTCACAAATATGTAGTTCCACTCTTAGCCTTACATTTGCATATATCTATCATAGATGTAAAACATAATGTTAAGGGAAGAATCAAGAATATGGGTTTTTGTCAATTCTAGCCATACCAGCATATAAATGTAGACCAGGCTTAGTGAAGCATGGCTGAAAACTAACCATCAACCACAAATACAGTAAACTATAATCACTGCCTGTTTCCTGGTAATGTGTTGTTATGGCAGTGCAAGTTTATGAACATGTTGTAATTGTTTATATATTACAAAAGAAAAAGACTGTTGCTGATCAGATGCATTCCAGATATTTGAGGAAAAGATCTTTTCTATAAGGATAGGCAGCTATAGCAAATGAGGTTAGGGGAAATGTTGAGTTAAGATAAACTATTTAATAATTGTAATGACAGAGATACCATCACAACAACAAATGTAATTGGGTTTGTATGACTAATTAATGAATATCCTACAAATAATAGCAAAATGTTGTAGTGGTCGTCCTTCAGACTTTGAGGTGGTGGGGGAGATTTGGACCTTTGTGTCAGGGGGGAGGGGGTTCAGAAAGTAAGATGACACTTTTCCATGTTCAACAAACACTCATGTTAAGAAACTGAATTTAAGCCTTTAATTTGCATTATTAAAAGTTGTTTTATAAATTGTTATAAAATAATTAACCAATAGGCCTACATTGAATGTTGGAAAAGCTCATAGGTCTAAATATTTTATGAAAATCGGTGCTTTAAAAACAAAATAGCGGGGGGGGGGGGGGGGGGGGTGTTGGCTTAGGTTTACTTTTTTGGGGAAGGGGGAGGTCTGGCATCGTTGTGACATCGTTAATAGATGACCCCATAGTCAGAGGTCGATCTAGATTGATTAGGCCTATATTAAAATGTTGATATTAAATACGCTTTACTTATTATTACAATGGAATATAGCCTAGTAGTTTATTTATATTAAATAATATAACATCCCATTTCACCACAACACCCTGACTATACTAATACAAATTAAAATAAAAATGTTTGGTAAATTACTATTATATTATTAGTAATTTTTAGTTTGAATATTTTTAGCCTTAGTAAAACCGGAAGTGACTTTGTACTCATTTCACAAATGTTATAAAATATTCAATTTTGGTTCAAAAATATGCTTTCTGGCAACGCAAAGTGGAACCACTTTTGGAACCACTTTTCCTACCTATTCAAAGTGCTGGAAAAAAGCTATTAGCTATGAATATTAAGTATTTCTTTGATGATGTGTGGTAGAATTAGTATCAGAAGTCACTCACCCTGAGACAGTTAATGCAGTGCTGTTAGTTCTCAAACACATACACAAGGGACATGTTGATGGATCTACACCTTTTAGTTTAGCCTGCTGGAAATAACCAACAATACTGATTAATAGAATTATTTATCTGTGAATACAGTTATGCTTTAAAAGTGTGTAGAGGGGAGGCAATTCACATAAACCAAAATGAATGACATTTTCTTAGCAATATATGAAAATGTAATTCCTTAATTGCCTAAAAATGATACTCTATCCTTATAAAGTTATTGCTATTGATGGGCTAGGTTTACAATTAATTTAAAGCATTTTTTTTGCAATACTAATAACAACGTAATAATAGCATGATTACTATTGATTAGTTTTAAAATATATATGTAAATTTTTCAAAGAAAGTGATTCAGATACCCTCTTACCCCCTTTCCACTCCTACAAACATACAAACAATATTCTATAAAATAATGGTACCAATTAAGCTCATGTGAATTAATTTCAGTGTTTATAAATCTTAAAGTTAACACCTATTGTGATTAATTATTTTCTTAAAAATAAATAACTGAAAATAATTTTTTTTTGTCATTTTTTTTTAAAATAAGAAAATTATTGGTCATACATTGCTTTAGCATAAAAGTGTAAAAGATATTTTAAGGTGTCAGATAAGCATAATAGATATTTTACTGTCCCAGTATAGAGAAACCAAGCAGTATACTTGAGAAAAGGGAAACAATCCAACCTCTGGTGGCTCCGGAATAGGCAAAGCAGTAAGTGAGGGAGCGCTGCTGTCTGTAGCATACCACCAATCTAAAAACTGGAGAAAGAACACGCCCACCGACAGACTTGTTGAAAGACACACTGCTGTGGTGCTCATACCCAACTTCATAACTCGATAAAATTTACCTGTAGGGCTGTCAAAGAAAAAAATATATACATTTTGATTAAGTATATGGGTAATTAAAATAATTATGGGGTGTGAGCTGATTATCATGAACAGGTAACCTAATCATGTTCTCAAGCATGTACTTAATAGTTATTTCACCAGCTATTGTCTTAGTGGCATCACCTACTTATATATGAGTGATACTTTCTTCACAATAAAATGTATATGGTAAGACAGCAACTCAAAAAATAAAATATTAATGGAACAAGAAATCTAGGTAATGCTTGGATAATAATAAATAAATGGCTCCATAGTCTTATAAACAATTGGATGATTGCACATTGGAAACCAAGGCACAAGGCCAGAGCAGCCAGGTGAAAAGAGCCCACCCCATAAACCAGGCTACCTCTCTCCTCACAGCTCATGGACTTATCTAAGGGAGAAAACTCCAAAATCAAACAGCTGCTGCCATCCTAGAAAGTTCTTGGGTGGACAAAGGCTATGAAAGCAAATTCAGAAAGAAAAGCAGGCTGAAGTCAATGGGCCATATTGACTTATAGCAGGTTGACACATAATACTCAATTGTGCTGCGATCACAATTAAGAACGAAAAAGAAGAAATTTACAGATAATCATTCAACTCTATGATCTTTTAAATTATAAATTCACCTTTAACCTCTCCCCCCTTTGAGTACTATTTCAACCTAAGTAATCTCTTTCTTCTTGAAAACTTATTTTTAACACTCCCCCCTCCTCCCATGTGCTAAAAAGACATAAAGAATTGATGCTACAAAGCCTACTGGCAGCACACAAACTATCTGAGACAATGACAATCACCTTTACATGTTTCTGACAAAAATAACTGACCACATGAATCTACACTAATACTAATATGACAATGAGTTCCTACTTTACTTGATAACTGTTTTTTTTAACTTACTGAAATAATACATTTTTTTTTACCGAGGCCTAATCCATTTATAAAATATTCAACTACTTAATCGAGACAGGTAGGCCCCATGTGTAGCTATCAGGAGAGAATAGCTCAGGAGAGAGAACTCTTGAGTAGTAGTTAGGGGCCTCGACTTTTGTAGGAGTGTTATGAGATGACTTGAATTTTGAACAAGAACAAACTAAGACATAATAGCTCAGGGGAGAGAACTTTTGAGAGTAGTAGTAAGGGCCTCTAATCTTATAGTTGGTGAACAGGAAATTTTTTTACACTAACCTCAACTCTGACCAAGCTGGCTTAGCTGAAAAAATGCCAGAAGATTCTTCTGTAGGTTCAAGCCGCTGTAGAACTGTCCCAGAAAGATGCATGCTGGGACTATGCCACCGACCTTTCCTTAGCATATACGACAGCATGTAAGCGAGTGATAAACATTCCCAGGCAGAGTGGATATAGGGGTAAAAAGCTAAATATAAATAAACTAGCCGTTGTTTGATTGTTAGGTTTTTCTGGAGAATAAAACAAAATTAGACAAGTAATAAACATAGTATTGGTATTACATTGGAATAAATATTGGAAAAGAAGAAGAAAATGACTACAAAGGTTTGTAAAATGAAATAAAACAGATACATACATACATATATATATATATATATATATATATATATATATATATATATATACACACACACATATAGGCCTATGTATATATTTTATACAAACACACATATATATTTTTCTTTTTTCTATATCTATCTGAAACATTAGGGTATAAATATTTGTGCTTTTTGTTTCTGATTCATTTTAAATTAAAATGTAACCTTAAGAAATGAGAATATTCCTCTGTCTGTTCCATTTCTATACCGTAGCTCTTCAAACAGGTTGTCCAGTTTTTGACGAAGATATGGAATAAATACCTGCATGTACAGAAAATAAACCTTTAATCAAATAATACCCCCACTCACTGTAGGTATAGGTGGATGAACTGGTCCTAATCTGGGTACAAGAATTTATTATATTGTTAATTAGTAGACCTACTTTTTGATAAGATGAGCCTCATAGATATTGCAGATAGTAACACTTAAACTCTAAATATAAAATTAGCCATACATTCGCCCCGGAGAGTATATTAATTTTAACCTAAGCCTTGATCCAAGAGGTTAAATTACCAATATAAGTGATACCGGCTATACAAATATGTGGGCAAAGATATTTGATAAAAACTCGAAGTAAGAACAACCTGAAACAAACTTACCAAACAAGCAACTGAGCGCCCTAGTTGTTTGGGTGTCAGACTTGAACTTTCTGTGTTGAGGCTGGGCACACGTTTCAGATCATAAAAATTTTCAGCAAATGATCCTCCTAAATTTTAATAACAAAATGAACAATTAAAAAAAAATTGAAATATTTCAAACCCGGTAACAGATTTGCATCCATGTAAGCAGTTTATTGTATTTAACATGTGTTTTCATTGTTTGTGAGCTTAGTGTCTGGATCAGGATACATTCAGTTCAATTAGAAACTGCAATTTTAATGTTTGAAGTGTATGAAAAAAAGTTCCTAATGTGCATAAAAATAAATATAGAGGGAGGTAATGTGAGGTACAGATAAAGCAGTCAAGACAGAATTCTTGTAGAGATAGATAACTGAGACAGCACAAGGAGAACAGTTGAGAAAAAGCAGAATAGTGATAGTAACATTGTCATACATGTGGAGAGATACTACATTTAAAAGTGGGATGGCATGGCCTGGTGGTAGAGCGCTTCACTGCTAACCTGAGAGTCTCAAGTTCAAATCCGGGTTCAAGTTAGTAGAATGTCCCTGAGTCCACCTAGCTCTGATGGGTACCTAACTCACATTAGGGAAAGTAAAGGTGGTTGGGCATATAGTGCTAACCACATTATCCCTTCATCTGCCGAGGTCAAGACACATAAACTCTACACTACTTGTCTGTCCAATGGATCTACAGAGGAATCTTTACTTTTTTCTTTACTACATCTGTAAGCAGTGATTTATATAGTTGTTACATATCCATCTCATTTCAAAACACTCACCATATCTCTTTAGGTAGTGAGACTGTACAATTATATCAAACAGCAGGAAAATTTCATCATAGTACTGGTATAATTTTCCAAGATAAGCTGGATACTTTTCTGCAAATACCTACAGGAAAACAATTAGTAATTTATAAAAATATAATCCAAGAAAAAATAGCTGTTACATTTTAGATTTTAAATTTAAAAAAATTATCTTTGAGAATAGAAGTATTTATAATCTTTTACAATATTTATCTTTTTAATGTTAAATTAAATAATTTAGGTATTTTACTTTAACTGCATGCAGAAATGCTGGCCGCACAGTGGACATTAAACTTTGCTGTGCTAAAACTTCAAATACACTAGGTCTCTGTGCATCTTCAGATCCAAAAGAAGTGAGATGTGCTCCATGCTCTGCCATAGTATGCCTGTGCTAAAAAAAAAAATACCACATTGTTTTAAAATGCATTTGAGGACTCGTCTTTGCTGTTAGAATAAAGACACAATTAACACACTAAAACAGTTAACTTCTCCCGCATGTTAAATCACAACACTATCCTATCATCCCTCTATCTTCAAAAAATTCTAACTAACTAAACCTAAGGTAAGAACAATGTTTTATTAGTTAATGAATAATAAAAAAAAAGAAAGAACATGAGTAACAAAATTTAATAGGCCAGATCTGCTTTAGGGACACTCTGGGAGGGTGTGCTTTCTCTGGGACACTCTGGGAGTGAGGTCTTTCTCTGGGACACTGGGAGAGAGGTCTTTCTCTGGGAGGGAGGTCTATCTCTGGGACACTCTGGGAGGGAGGTCTATCTCTGGCACACTCTGGGAGGGAGGTCTTTCTCTGGGCCACTCTGGGAGGGAGGTCTTTCTCTGGGACACTCTGGGAGGGAGGTCTTTCTCTGGGCCACTCTGGGAGGGAGGTCTTTCTCTGGGCCACTCTGGGAGGGAGGTCTTTCTCTGGGCCACTCTGGGAGGGAGGTCTTTCTCTGGGCCACTCTGGGAGGGAGGTCTTTCTCTGGGCCACTCTGGGAGGGAGGTCTTTCTCTGGGCCACTCTGGGAGGGAGGTCTTTCTCTGGGGCACTCTGGGAGGGAGGTCTTTCTCTGGGCCACTCTGGGAGGGAGGTCTTTCTCTGGGCCACTCAGGGAGGGAGGTCTTTCTCTGGGACACTCTGGGAGGGTGTGCTTTCTCTGGGACACTCTGGGAGGGTGTGCTTTCTCTGCACAGACAACCCAATTGAACACTGGGGAAAATCATGTCAGAGATCCATAGAGGCAATGGAAATGTTATTTATTTTAAAAAAGGGGTAGATGTAGCTAGTAGTAGGGGTCATCCATTTATGATGTCCACACAAATTTTGAATGTATTTATTTTATACACTGAATGTACTGTTTACTAATTATTATTTTTGATCAATAACAGTTTAGAAGCTGTTCAGTTGAGGCCACGGAGGGGGGGACGATCTGTCCAGGATTCAGAGGGTCGATTCTAAATATCATCAGAATTGATAATTTCATTATACATATTTACTTACTAACCAATCAGACTATATTATAAATTATTATAATCACTATAATGATAATCTATAACACTATAATCACTATAAGTATAAGTACATGTCATACACTATACACTAGTATACACTATACATACATTGATACAAAGCATAGATCTACATACACTGACTGTAACAGAGTCAATACTACTATACTTATATTACAAGGCACAAAAAAGCCTTTTTTACCACACCTTTTTTTGTCAATATGACTAGGGCTAAGTCTTTAGGCTAGATCTAAGGCTAAGGCTAAGATCTACTACAAACGGGCTGAGTACAGCGTGAGTAGTAACCCCTGCTGTACTGTAGTAACCAGTCTGACTAAAATATCAAAATACTAAAGTAATAAAGAATCTAATAGAAAATAAATAGATCTAGACTAGAGTCTAGGCCTAGGGGGGGGGGGGTCTACTAGAACTAGACTATATTATAAATTAAAAATTTTATATTATAATAAATAATAAAATAGTAAATAGGCTAGGCCTAATGCCTACTTACTTTAGTACTTACTATTTAGTAAAACTTTAGTAATTAATTAGATCTAAGTTAGTAAGTAGGCCTATAGGGCCTAATAATTTTTTATTATTATTAGGCCTATAATTACTATAATTATTTTCCTAGTAACAAGATCTAGATCTAGTAGCCCATTGTTGTAGTCTGTAGATCTAGAATCTATAATCTATATCCATTTATTATTTTAATCAGACATTTTTGTTCATTTAATTTTACAAGTGAACATTTTTAACACAAAAATAACTAATATTATAATTAGAAAAATATAATCTAGTCTAAGTATGAACTTTGCCCACTTAAAAATAAATAAAAACGAAATAAATTCTAGAGGCAAGAGTGTACACTCTTTTTGTCTCCACGCACTGAAAAGTCAATTCACACTTCCCGTTTCTGCCATATCATCATCGATAAATAAACATTCTCAGGATTAGTAGACACTACAAGTGTACAGTTATTAATGAGATCAGCAGTTATGATCTCTAGATGGTGATTATTTAGAATAATTGTATGTTTAATAAAAAATACTCCAGATCTAATTTAAATTACATAATTATTTCTAGATCTAGATCTAATTTAAGATTTTTGAGTTTAGTAAAAATTAACCCTCTTAAGACGTAGCTTTTTTAGAGAGCCGGTGCTAAGAAGACGGAGCCTACTTTCAAGTTTTGCACTTGTATCACAAAAAAATTTTGAAAAAAATAAAATAATTATTTTACATGCATAAAAATATATATTATTTATTAGGAAATTGAATGAGCTAATATGATTTTTATAAATCTAATAAAAATCTCAACATATATATGTGAGCTTTCTGATTTGCATAATTTATGCACGAAAAAAAAATTGACGGCACTAAATTACAGTAAATTTGTATAACAATACGTTTTTTCTCTCTGTAATGCTAATCTAAATAATACACAAACATCTATTCAATAATCTGAACTAATTTACTGATTATTATTTCTACATTAGAATTTCTAAGTATATTTTTAGTATATTTTGATGACTGGACTGTTGGACATAAGAAAATTTACGATAGGACTCACGGCACTAAAAAAATCGATAAAAAACAAAAAAATGAGGCAAACTTTCAATGGAAGTCGCCATTGAAGTGCTAGATATGTACTATAACAGTTAGAAGCAATCTGATTGGCTGATATGATACTAGAAAGCCAATCGTGTGGCTTCTACTATCGCGGCTGAGACCCGGCCGATAGATCGGCCGGTCGTCTTTTTGGCTATAAAACCGGCGGCCGATAGATCGGCCCGGGCGTCTCAAGAGGGTTAAAAAAGAAAAAAGAAAATAAAAAACAAGTTTTTTTTTTTTTTTTTTTTCTTTTCTTTTTTTTTTTTAGTCCTATTTCTTTCCTCCATCATAAAATTAAGCAGTGCGTGCCAGCATGTTATGCGCCATACTGGATGGCCCGTTGACTCCGACTTCAGCCTGCTTTTCTTTCTGGATTTGCTTCCATAGCCTTTGATCACCCAAGAAGCCCAAGAACAAACTACAAGGCAGTAGCTGTTTGATTTTGGAGTTGTCTCTCCTAGATGGGTTGCTGTCCCCAGCTAACGAGCCCCATCTGCCCGGGTTTGGAGTTATAGCGCCCCATGCTCGCCGTTGAAGTCATTTCCTTGGATTTATGAGATGTTTTTTATTGGATATCCTAACCAATGGATATCCCACCTCATCCTCCATGACCACAAACCAGTTGGTCCACGGCTGTTTATTTGGTATTCACAGCTAACCCTCATATCTAAGGGCCTCTCCCCTATCCGCCACCTGGGGACGCGCTCGGTAGGAGATGGTAGCTCCCCCAAGAAAAAACAAGTCAAATAATAGGCTAAAAATGAAATATTTGGTAAAAAAATCTGAGCAGGCAATGGGCGCCATTGTAACCTTAGGGCTTAGGCTTTCCCAGGGCCACCATAGGCACTATACCAGGGGTCTCCAAACTACGGTCCGCGGGCCGCATCCGGCCCGCAAGGTCCTTTCATCCGGCCCGCAGAGATCTTTTTGTTCACGGAAAAAAATGTTTGTTAGAAGTGGCTGAGGTACTTTGCTCAGAAAATTCAAAACAATTTGAAAATCTAGCTTTGTGTATAAATAATACCTTTGCTCTCCGTGTTGCAAACATTGATGAAAACATTGTGACTTAAAATAGAGTCGCTGGACAGCTGTTCCATGTTTTTGGAACAAGTACAGGGCAACAACTTGACGCACTTTCAGCAGTGCAAAGTCTTCATGGCCGAAGCAACAGCTGAGTTCCCCACATCATTTGCATGCAAGATAATCAAAGACCTCCGGCTGCAGTTTCAGTAACGGTTTTCTGACTAGGATTCAAAGGCAGAAGAAGTGAGACTGCTTCAAAACCCATTTGAAGCAAATGTAACCAGTTGCCCAGATGAACTGCAGATGGAGGTCATTGAATTGCAAGCAAATGACCTCCTAAGAGACAAGTTCAAAAATGGCGGGTGGGTTTTTGTGTTTGCCCAAGGAGAACAAACTAGGACCTTGAGTGTGTTGTCGGCCAGACAGTGTTTCTTTCAGACTTTTTCTCCTGGTAGGAGGGTGGTTGCATTTAAAATGTGTTTATATTTGTATATAATTTCTATTTCTTTGGGGGGGGGGGGGGGCACGGTGGACACAGCCACCCCAAAGGATGCATGGAAGAAAATCTACTCTGGCCTGCGAACTGATTTTTGATAGTTAAAGCGGCCCTCGGGCTGAAAAGTTTGAAGACCCCTGCACTATACTATAATATAGATAGATATATTATCTAAAGTAATCTAAACTATAATATTAATAATAATAAAAGGCTATTAATAGGGCCGTATATTAGGGCCGAGATCTTCTCTATTGATTTGATACTATAGCAGCATAGCTTACCTTGTTTAATAATAATACCCTTTTCCAGGCCTAATTTTCTACACATTTTTATTTCTGTTTCTGAATATCAAGTTATCAAGTAATTATCTTATGTGACTTATGTGGATATATATAGGCCTATTTATAATTTAATAACTATTTATTAAAAAATTAATTAGTAGGCTTAGGCTAAGCCCTACACTCGACTTATTTATCTTTCACCATCTTAGTTATAGTTCACCAGTTCACCGGTGGAAAAAAACTATGGTTTACAGTTTACTGTACAAACTTTACAAACTTTTCCGGATAATATATATATATATAATAATTTCTTCCAAAAATAGTTGTTAGGTTGTAATTAGTATTGTAATCTTAACTCTAGTTTTATGGTTAGAAATTAGTGTTAGGTGTATGGTAGGACGAGGGTTGGGGTTAGGGTTAGGACTGACGTTAGGAAGTCACATGTGTATTTAGTTAACAGTCAGTAATCTAACACCCCTTTTTTAAACGAAATTCTATTATTGTGCCATTATCATTATCCGACACTGGGTTAACAAATGCACCATTATGCGTTCAGAATTTTATCATTACATCCTTTGTATGCTTCAGTCATTTCCATTTTGTGTGTGTTTACAAGTGTTAGGATCATGTATTTCTCTGACCCTTAAAAAATATTTTTGTTTCAGAGTTAAATTTTTCAAGTCTCGTTTGGAAGTTTATTTTTTTTAATAACAAACACCACTGGTTGGTGTTAGATTTGAATCAAGCTGTAACAGATGCAAGCAAAGAATTTTGTGGACAGGAGAACAGCTACAACACTCAGTATTTTTGTAACGAAATTATGTCAGGGTCTTCAGGGTCATCATCTCATCCACAACAGTCAACATCTCCAACTGCCGCCGGCTCCAGTAGCAACCAGTCTTTGAGGTGGAGTCTTCAAAATTTTCCAGTGCCTGTGCAGCTTCAGGTAAAAATTGGCATGGTTTTTGTATGGGCTTGTTAATTAGTAACATCTGTTTGCTCAGTTCTTAAGGTTACATTAAATCAAGCTTAACCTATGGATTAAGAATTGTTGGTTGTCAAGGATTTAGATTAAGTAACATGCTCATATGACTATTCATTGTAAAATGTTTTGATGGCTTTTACCAACCAAATTTGGCTGATATGTTGGTTCTGGTTTGGATTTTGATCATATGAGTCTTATGTGACACTATTAATTATTCTGTCACTTTGAAACTATCATAAATTAATAAAACATATACTAAAAAGCTTAAATAAAATTTTAGTCTAGTAATTTTTTTAGTAAAGTAAGTTCTTGGATTGAAAAAATAAAGGCTTATGTCCGAATATTATTTCTGTTTCAGGCTCGTCTGCCAAGATCTCCATTATCAGTGGCACAAGAACTGTTGCCCAATTTCCCCACCCACCTCAGCCATCAACGTGGGCATGAAGAAGGGCAGCCACAGCAGTACCAGCTTAGCCTGCAACAACACATCCAGCAACAGCTACAGCAGCAGTTTCAGAGGCAGCTACAGCTAAACTTGCAGGGGCTGGCTGAGTCTCCCCGCGCCCCGGAGATGCCTGACCCCCCAGACACTATTCTTGACCTAGACATGCCTGCTGGGGACAGCAGTGGGGGGTTCTCGTCAATGAGTAACAGCGGGAACTCTAGCGCCATACGAGGTTTTAACTCTCACCTGTTGGAGGCGATTCTACGAGGCGCAGCCGCCCAGCAGAGACCAAACTCTAATAATAATTCGAGCCCCATAGGTTTGATATCTCGAGCGGCCAATGGAAATAGCGGCGCTACTCAGCATCATCACCACCATGCACACTCTCACAACTATCAGAGCACTGGCACAATGGACAATAACGCCTTGGGCAACAACATGTCTGTTAACGGAGGCACTGGTATTAACTTTGGGGCGGATGTAGGGCAAGCAGGGGTTGCTGGTAATGGGGGCGGGGCAGTTAACCCGGGCCCCCAGCAAGCAGCGGAACTTACGCTACTGTACAAGTGGGTTGCAGAGTCTGGAATCTTTATCCTGCTTTTGTTTTTACATTTCCTCTATGACCACCGGCTAGGTAAGGTATTCTTTTAAAATGATATAGAATAAAAAAAATAGCAGCTGTAAATAAAAACATATTTTTATTTGTTTTCTTTGTTAATGAGAAAAATATATGCCAAAGTAAAAATGTTGTAATAACTTGTATTTTAATCAGGAAAAGCAGAAATTTAAAATTATGCGATTATTTTTTAAACATTGCATAAAGATTAGAAATAAATTCTCAAAATATGTAAGATTAATACTTATTAATTAAATATACAACTCAGCCAGTCTTAGCCTTCTTTAAATTTTGGCACCTCCGTTGTATTATACTTTATTTTATGAGGGTTGATAATAATAATTTTATTATGCAGTTCGCTATTCATTAATTTGGATTTGAAACTGTTACAGTGTAATAGTAAATTGCATGTATAAAGAAATTATGTATTTCTGTTTATGTGTGTATTGATATGTAATGTTAACCTGATATTCTGTGCTTTAGGTTTGCTGGTGTTCTTGTGTTTAGGAGGGACATTTTACTACACAAATATGAAGCTAGTTCATGCTATACATCAGTCTGCTGTCAGGGTAAGTTAAACTTGTACTTGTACCGTTATCTTTTGACTTCATTCTTGCCTCAATGTAGTATATTTTACTGAATTGATCTTGTATATTTACAGAATTAATGTAGTACATGTTAACTGAATTCATCTAGTACATTTTAACTGATTTTATGAATTACATTTTAACTGAATTCATCTAGTACATTTTAACTGATTTTATGAAGTACATTTTAACTGAATTTATTTAGTACATTTTGACTGAATTTATTTAATACATTTTAACTGAATATATGTAGTACATTTCATCTGAGTTAAGATTTTGACTGAGTTCATCTAGTACATTTTTACTGATTTTTATGAAGTACAGATTAACTGAATTTATGTAGTACATTTAACAGAATTTATTTGGTACATTTTAATAGAATTTATGTTGTATATTTTAACATAATTTCACCAGTTAATTTTACAATACCTATATGCCTGTGTATGCTTTATTATGTATTAATTATGTACTTAATTAATTTATAAAAGATATTTTGTAATTCCTACATACTGAAGTAATGTATGTTTTTCCTCACTTTGTTTCCCAGGAACAAAGCAGATCTTGGCTTGGTCTTCTAAACTTGATGTGGTTGTGTGGGTTCCTGATTGTCAACATAGCCATACTATATTATGTTTTTAGTGCCCAAGAACTGTGGAAACTGTAAGTCTGTGTTTGACCCTTTTAGTAGAAGTCTTAGGTTTGAACCCTTTTGGTAGCAGTCTTAGGTTTTAACCCTTTTGGTAGCAGTCTTAGGTTTTAACCCTTTTGGTAGCAGTCTTAGGTTTGAACCCTTTTGGTAGCAGTCTTAGGTTTGAACCCTTTTGGTAGCAGTCTTAGGTTTTAGCCCTTTTGGTAGCAGTCTGAGGTTTTAGCCCTTTTGGTAGCAGACTTAGGTTTGAACCCTTTTGGTAGCAGTCTTAGGTTTTAGCCCTTTTGGTAGCAGTCTGAGGTTTTAGCCCTTTTGGTAGCAGTCTTAGGTTTGAACCCTTTTGGTAGCAGTCTTAGGTATGAACCCTTTTGGTAGCAGTCTTAGGTTTTAGCCCTTTTGGTAGCAGTCTGAGGTTTTAGCCCTTTTGGTAGCAGACTTAGGTTTGAACCCTTTTGGTAGCAGTCTTAGGTTTTAGCCCTTTTGGTAGCAGTCTTAGGTTTTAGCCCTTTTGGTAGCAGACTTAGGTTTGAACCCTTTTGGTAGCAGTCTTAGGTTTTAGCCCTTTTGGTAGCAGTCTTAGGTTTTAGCCCTTTTGGTAGCAGACTTAGGTTTGAACCCTTTTGGTAGCAGTCTTAGGTTTTAGCCCTTTTGGTAGCAGACTTAGGTTTGAACCCTTTTGGTAGCAGTCTGAGGTTTTAGCCCTTTTGGTAGCAGTCTGAGGTTTTAACCCTTTTGGTAGCAGTCTGAGGTTTTAGCCCTTTTGGTAGCAGTCTGAGGTTTTAGCCCTTTTGGTAGCAGTCTTAGGTTTTAACTCCTTGTGTGTAATGTTGAAGTTAATAACTTAATTAAATCAAAATGTCTAATGATAGCACTATTCTTTTATTTATTGGAACCTGTCTTTGGTTTTAAATGATTGTTGCTAATTACAATTGTATCAAGTAAGAAAGTATTAATTAAGCAACCTTTCGAACATGCTGTTAGTGACCTCTGCCTATGAAGGGAAAATGTGATCATTATGCCCAGCACCTTTAATTTCCCCAATAGTGTCAGTACTGTTATTAAAATAATATGGAAATACTTCACTTAACTTCAAAGCAATAATGTTGACATGTTTTCTTTCTTGTTTGCAGGTTGTATTTCCAGATGGCGCCAGTGTCAGACATATCTGTGTGGACACTGTTGTGGTGTGTGGTCATGACGGACTACATCATCAAATTTTTGACTGTGATCTTCAAATCCTTACTTGCCATGTTCCAGCCCTGTAGTAAAAACTACCGCCAGAGGGTGAGACAGCCTGCTATTTATATCCTTTTTCTTCCTCCACCCACCTGCACACTAGACAACTGCTGCGGCAGCGAGATTTAACCCAGTCCCATCATCATAGCCGGTGGGAATGCGTGATCGAGTGGTAGAGCGCTAAATTGCTAACCCAGAAGTCTTCAGATTGGGTTCCACGCTCAAGTCCAAGTAACCTTCCCTCTAAGAGGAAAAAGCTATTATGCATCGAGTATTTTGCGTCTGCAGTGTTCTAAAGTTTTATACTAGGATATATGTATTTTCCACAATTACTGCGCAACTGTGTAGCTTAGATGGAACATTGGAGCCCACCCAGCTCTGATGGACTCATGGCTCGGAGAATGAGAAACTCAAGTTGGTTTGGTATAGTGTTGATCCACTATCCTTCATCTGCTTTAGCTTTGGTCAGAGAAACGGGTGAACTCTGCTTCACCTGTCCTGTGGACATTCTGGTCTACTAGGGAACTTATCTATCCTTCTCCTGATTTACCCTGCTGGAATGTCAGTCCCCTTTTTATGAGCACTCTCTCCAATTATAATTAAAAGAATCTTGTTAGTTACACTTTAGCTGTCACTAGCTAAGATTTTATATATAAACTTTACAGCATATTTAACGAACTACCAGTGACTAAAATTTAGGTTTCCTCCGCTACAACAGAATGTCTTATCATCTGCCTAGTTTAACATTTTTAATTTATATTTATTCCTTAGATAATTATATCGGTAGTTCGGTATTTATTAATTATTTTTTTTCTTCAGGGCAAATACTATTTGCTGATTTAAAAATTTAACAACTTTACCAAATATTCTATTTAATAATTCATTCCTAGCATAATTAGGCCTAAACCAAATCAATATGTATTAAAAACATTTTTTTCAGGACAAATACTATTTGTTAATTGAAAGCATTTCACAACTTTACCTTTATTTCTTTAGGGCAAATACTATTTGTTAATTGAAAGCATTTCACAACTTTACCGTCAAGTTGTCACCATTGTGCCATGGTGGTATTACCTCAATGACAGCAACAGGACCAGCTTGTGGTTTGCATTCATCACTGAAGCTGTGTACCTGGGCTTTAAGGTGAGCTTACCACCAGCACCACTATTTCTGTATTTTTTTTCCTCTTGTAATCATGTATACTTACAGGATCACATATTTGTCAGCTTGCAGATTGTGTATTTTGTTCAAACTCCGCAGCTATACTTAAAGCTTTATAAAACAGAAATAGTAGTTAGTGTATGTATATTCACTTAGTTCGTAAATTCTTATGATAGGTACAAAATCAATTTAATTTCGTGCCTTGTTTTTAAACACTGTCTGAATAAATATTTTAAAGTGATAATTAAAATTTGTAATTTATCGGATGTTTATTTTAACAAATATAAAAAAAAAAAGAACAATTCCCAATTTTGTACGTTTATAAGTAGTTTTATTGTTTTATAGGAATTTGACAAGTAGATATTTAAAAAAAATAATTGTATTAAAAACTAGATAAACTACTTTATAGTTTTTTATGAATTCAGATACAGGATGCAAACTTTGTTATTAGAGAGCTCCTTATGAGAAGAGTTGTCTTTATTTGAAGTATCTTGTGTTATGGTTTCTCTGCAGAGTTGGTCAGTGTGGGGTGCTGTACAGTTTTTATATTCATCTTTCCAAAGATTTCAGTCTAACACAGTAAGTCCAATAAAATACATTAAATTATTATCACTATAGTAAGCCATGTAAACAGATTTTCATTATTTTTAGTGTATTCAGGTTATATTTAGAATTCTACCATATTGCTTGTTTATTATATCCATGTTATAAAAAAAATAGTTGACCAATGCTTTCACTGTTATGGCTAAAAAATTGAATGTTTAATTTTTCAATTTTAGTGCACAGAAAAGCCTGTTAGTCCAAGGTTTAAATAATATAAATCAGTATTACTATAAGTTTCTTTTACATTTTTTCCAGTCTTTTGGCATCAAGCCAAGCTCTAATGATGTTTTAGAAAGAGGCAACCAATGCCCAATTTGTCAAGATACTTTCAATGAACCAGTGATGTTGCCTTGTAAGGTAAGAGATGAATAATTCAACAAGTGATTTTTTAAAGTGTAATATAAAGTTCATATGTATATAATTTCTTAACCTAACTATCAATTATCACAGTTTAAAATTATTTCTGTGTGAAAATTCAGTAAAGTTAATTTAAAAATATTACATTCTAATTTGTAAAATGGATTAAGCCGAATTAGACACTTAGTCCAAGGTTAGCTTGCTTCCTTTATGCTCCTTATGAAGGGATTGTGTTATGAACACTATGCCCTGGCCCCTCAGCTTTACCAAACTTGAGTAACTATCAAAACTGGGTTGACTCAAGATGCTTGCTTAAAGGACATAGACTGGAAGATTAAGCTGGAGAAAAAACAACTATTGGTTGAGAACATCTAAGCTAAATAGTATCAGAAAAACAAAGGGTTCATTAGCCCACCCAGTTGCCATTCTCTCTCTCTCTCCCCCTCTCCCCCCCCCCATTTAAGTTCTAGGACATCCCACTAACTCAAGGCCAGATACTGAAAATAAGACTAGGGTTTAACAGTCATGTGCTCTACCACACAACACCACCATCCCAAAACATTACAGGGAAATATTTTTCTAACATGTTATGTTTTGTTTAATCCATCGACAGCATATATTTTGTTATGTTTGATCCATTGACAACTTATATTTTGCTAACATGTTTTGTTATGTTTGATCCATTGACAGTATATATCTTGCTAACATGTTATGTTTTATTTGATCCATTGACAGCATATATTTTGTGAACAATGCGTGTCCATATGGTTTGACCGTGAGAAGACATGTCCCATGTGTAGGGCGGAGATCACTACTGAGTCACCCATGTGGAAAGACGGAAACACCAGCCCTCATTTACAATGGCACTGATGTTTAGCAGGGTGTGTGTATGTGTTGGCATATGGGTAGTGTCTGTGTGCATATGATGGTGTTTAGTGCTTGTAAGATGAAATATAGTGTGTGTATGGTTGATTGTGTATTGTGTATGGTTGAAATTGTGTATCAGTAACTGGTGCATATGTATGTATTTGTATTTATAGGCTTAAAATGTTATTTCATGTGGTACATACATGTACCCATACATTTCATGGTCAAATTTGAACAGAAATATAGTTCATAAATAAGGGAGAGAATATTTTAATATGTTTTTTTTTATTGTAAAGAGAAATTCCGTAATAGAAAGTACTTTCATAACTATAAAAAAAAAATCTAGTTGGTTTATACGATTATATTTTGTTTTATGTTAATTTTGTGTTTTTGTTTAAAATTTTTTTGATCACAATTTTATTTCATGCACTGTTTGTTTACATTTTTTGTTTACCTTTTCTGTAGAAATAGTTACAAACAATTGTGTTTTTTGTGTGCTTGTGTGTTTCATTTGTAGGTCATTAATACCACAGAATGAGATAGCAAAATGATGTAAGAAATGATTATGTATTACAGTATCCCGCGATAATGTGGTTGAGATTATTGAGCACTCTTTTTTTTCTTTGGTCCAAAATGAGACATTTTATAATCATAAATTTATAATCCCTACCCTAGCTTTTTTATTATAACAGGGAAGGGAGTTAGTTATACAATGGAGTATTAAGTTACATTTCTTGTTGGTATGTGATAAAATTTACTTAATCTCTCAATGTTTTAACTAAAAACATCAGTTTTCTGTGATCTTTTTTTTTTGGTAACATTTAATAATTTGTATTATAGAGTTATTTCCCTTGATTTAATTATTTGTGAACAGGTGACATTTCAAAATCTGTTTTAAAATTGATGTAATGGGAGCAAAATTTTGAAAGTTTATTGTACATCACCAATCATTTGTTATATTGCCAGCCCCTGTTCTCACTACTGAACATACACCAACCATCTCATTGATTTTCTTCTTCATTCAATCCAATCCATTTTTTTTTGTTTTTTTATTTGCTAGAGGACCAGATGTTCTTAAAAATTGGTTTGGAATATTAACAAGGTGTATATTTTTAAAAAAGATATTATATAATTTATTTCTTTTTTATTTGTATATAGAAGCTGATTACATTGCATGGGCTAGGGGATTTTAAATTAATCAATTATTGCTTTAATTCAATTTTGACTTTAAAATTTTTATATTTATAGTCCTTTTTATTTGATCTACAATTTTTTGGGGTCTTAGTATTTAGTTGTAGTTTTTTTTTTTTTACAACTTTAAAGATTATTTTTGAAGCTTTAATATTTAAAAACGGGAAATATATATTTTTCTCACCATTTTATTTTGGGGAAAATCTGGTTTCCGCAGTTTTGAATGTGAAAAGTTTAGGGCAATGGTTAATTTCCATAGTCCAGGCAAGGTTTATAATGTGACATGGTATGGCTAAAGCAGTTGTAATATTTAAAAAAAAAACATTTTGATAAAAAAATTTTATATTTAAAAAAAAAATTAATATAAATATAGTATCAATAAATAAGAATTTACAGTAGTAATGTTTGGTAATCAGTATTGTTCCAGGATCAATTTACCCTTTAAAAGGCAAATCCAAGTCCAATTTTTTTTTATGTCTACAAGTAAGATTGAGTTATTTAAATGCATTTTTTTTTTTCAGCTCACATGTACTCTTGAGTGCTGTGTGTGTATCTTAGAAGTGATTGAGGTTATGGTTGATATTAGCTTATATATTAGTGAAGAAGTTCAGTACTATTGAGTTATGATGCATCATACCCAACCAGAAGTTTAGTTTGGGCTAGTTTAGTATTAAGGTTAGTTTAAAAGATAAGCTTACAATGATCAATACATGTAGATCAGGAGCAGCTAACTCAACTAGTTCTTAATTGTTATTGGTCTCCCCTTACCAGCATGAAACACAAAATTCCTCCAGACAAAGTCTGTTATAATTTCAGTGTAAGTAATCGTATGGTTCTTAACTGTATTATAGTAAGCAATTTTTAAAAAAAGGATCGTTCTACACATGTAGTAAGAAATACGCAAACATTATTTTACCAATTTGCCTAGTGGGTTTTGAACAGTGGTTCTTAACCTTTTTTGAAGTACTGAACCCCACCAGTTTCAAGTGCGCTTTCACCGAGCCCTATTAATAATTCTTTTGCTCGTACTGACAATTCTGATTATGTATGATATTAGTTGTTTGTATATCTTGACCGAACCCCTGAGACTGACTAACCTAACTCCTGGGGCTTGATCGAAGGCAGTTATACAACCACTAGTATGTTATCTCTAAAAAAAGTGCAGAGTATATTAGAGAGTTTCTGGAGAGTTAAAGGTAATCTCTTACCTTAGGTTAGGGTAACACAGGAAGAATGTATGCTTTTCCTGCAAGACTGATTTAATTATATATTAAAATACAATATTTCTTTTTGTTAGGTAGCAGGGTAGGGGAAGTAACTTTTATATCAATAAAAAAGCACAATGTTTTTCTTGGTTCTCTCCCTTTAATTAAAACTGTTCTTAAAATATTTTTTTGTATCCTTTTTTTGTTTGGAATTTTAAAATATAATTTTTTTGTTGTATTTGATTCGCAATTTGAATTGTTTATTAGTATGATCAGATAGTACTCAGTGGTCTTTTGTTTGTCACCACAGTCTATTTTTGTTCACAAAAAACTTCCGCTATGAAATGAACTTAAAAAAAAAGGAAACAAAAAAGGAGCTTGTTTTTAATTTGCAGTTATTTTAATAAAAGTGTATCCGTTACACATTTGATTCTGTTTTTACTTTGAGTAATTTTTCTCTCTATTTGTTGTTTAAGGCCTGTTGTTAATGTTACTGCTTATTCAAATGTACAATTAAAATTTTCAATCTTGAAGAAAAATAAAAGTATAACTCGAACTAGCGTGTATTGTGATCTATTCTGTTACATCTGTAGACACTCTCTTCTTGGTGATTAGGGTCTTCGTTTAGATTGTTAGTGTCTGTTTGCATGTTCTAACCTGTAGTGTTAGCGGGATCAGAGGCGAAGCGGGGGTTGCGGACCGCACCGGGTGACACCATTAGGAGGGGGGGGGGGTGACACCATGGCGAAAAATTGTAAAATATATAGAAGAAAAAATGATTCAATTAATGATTAATAAGAGGTAATTCACATGTATTAATAACTGACTATAGATACTAGTGAATACTTAAAAACTATCACCGGGGGGTGACACCAAAATTAAGAGAGGAATAAAAGCTTGTTGAGTGGTGACACCATGAGATACTGCACCGGGTGAAACCCGGCGTCGCTACGACACTGAACGGGATACAGTATGTGTGTGTGGGGGGGGGGGAAGGCGTGGTTACGTTTAAAAGCTACCATTAATACTGTTCTCTTCAAGATATATATATATATATATATATATATATATATATATATATATATATATATATATATATATATATATATTAAAATGCACATTCAATAAACGCACACGATAATCATCCCAGTACTATTATAACTTGATAGTAATATAATCAGAAAAGAATAGGTACAAAGGTTTTCTGGTAAAATGACGCGGTATCTGCTGTAAAAGATCTACGCCTGTGCTAGACGAGACGTCCACCCTAGAGCAGAGTTTCTTCTACCGCCCCCCGAAAGAAATGAAATTTATATAATTTATATAGAAAATATATACTTTTAACAGTGTCCGCCCCCCCCCCCCCCCCGAAGAAAGTCTACCGCCCCCCCCCCCCCCGAAAATTTCAAGTGCCTCCCCCCCCCGGAGAAAAAAGTCTGGAAGAAACACTGCCCTAGAGGTGTTGTGACTGAGACCATGCCATCGAATGGTCTCATGGACTGGTTTCTTTCACGCATCTATTCGGTGGTACCGCCCCCCTCCTCCCTTCCCAAAGCACGTCTACGTCCCTGGAAAGAAATCTTTAACCAGTATTCACCCTCCCCGGAAATTAAGTCCGCCCCCCCCCCCGATAGTCACAAGTACCCTTTCAGTAATTTCTCTCTTGGGGTAGGGGGGGGGGGGGCTTTAAAACTTTCCCGGGTGTGGGGCGGCAGACACTAGTTATTTTGCATATATTTTCTTTATCGTTCGAGGGGGGGGGGGCGGGAGGTACCCCACCGAAGAGATGCATGAAATAAAACCTGCCTCTTCACCCCGGACAAAAAAAATGTCTGAAAGAAACACTGTCATCGACTGGTCTCATGGACTGGCCTCACGTGGTGTAGGTCTGAAAACTCCACGAAAGTGCAACGAACCTGCAGATAAAACACAACCATGCCCAGGCATAGACGAAACAATCCGACTTCCCTGATTACACCGGTTATCTCCCCTACTTGAATCACCGCGCCAGCCTCGTTCTGGTCTATTTCGTCACGACTCGGCGTCTGGACAACAAAGCTAGCACGACATGGCCGGAAGTTCTAGCAAATGGACGGCGGTATGAAAGTATTGAAAGCTAACGAACAGCGTTTGTACAACTTTTCTTTCATTTGCTGCAATGCGCCTGATTTAAATAATAAAAATTGCCGATCGTTCAGACAAAAAAAGGCAATACTATTTTAACTAGCAGTTACATTTCTTACATAATTGAAAATACCGACATACGATAATAGACTCTTCCAAAAAATAGGCGTTGTAAGTTGTTGGTATTATGGTAATTTCGACTAGTTTTATTGTCATAAATTAGGGTTAGGCGTATGGTAGGATTGGGGTTAAGGATATGGTTAGCATTGACATAGAAAGCCATGTGTGTATTATGCACCCCCCCCCTCAAGATTTCGATTTGCACCCCCCCTTCAAACTTTCGATTTGCACCCCCCTCAAACTTTCAATTTATTTTTCCACCCCCCCCCCCTTCGCTACGCTACTGAACCTAGGCATCCCTTCTACCCCCTGAACAAAATATAATTTATACAGAAAATATACTTTTACCAGTGTCCGCCTCCCCCCCCCCCCCGGAAAATTTAGTCCGCCCCCCCCCCCCCCCCCCTTCTCGAAAATTTGAAGTGCTTCTTCCACCTGCAGAAAAAATTCTGAAAGAACACTCTTACTAGTTATACATGTTAAACCGTATAGAGAGAAACACGACATTCTATACTCTCGATAGAATGCCTAGTCAATTCTTATAGAATGCCTCGGCAATTCTAGAGTCGATACGTATTTTGTACTTACGCTAGGCAGTGTATAGAATTCTTGAAATATTCTGACAGTCCAAACGTATTTCGTACTTTCACGAACCAGAACATGGTTACAAAATACGTTCAGAATAAAATTATACCCACCCCCCCCTCCTCGAACAGCTCCTAACGCTAGTTTTAATTTTAATCCTAATCTTGACTCCATAATTCCATTCCTAATATTGCTATTCAATTTGGTTAGATTTGATGTTAGGTTTTGGGTCAATTTGTAATCGACGGGGTAATGTCCTGCTTCAGCTTATAGAGTCCGGATATCGACATAATAGCAGTCAGCTAGCAATCATCATGCTAATTTAAACACAGAATTAAAATAAACCGGGAGTGATCTCCCCTAAACTTTCTCGAATATTCTTATATAACTTGGAATGTAGACATGATTTTTAATTACTTAAACTTTTAAAAATAGAATAGAATCTCATAGAAAAAAGAATTGCGCACCAAGCGAACGCCAAAACAAAATGTGCATAGTAGTGCGCAATATTATTAGTACTTTATAAATGTACATGCGTTTTTTTGAGAAATCGGAAATAGCGTAAATTAGTACTTCCGGTCAACGGAAATTACTCAAAATTTGACAGAAGGTAGAGAATTAGATCTTTTATTTACATGTGAAATTTCAATTATCTATCTGAAATAGTACTCAAGTTATAGGCTTTTTAAAAGTTCAAAGTAGGAAAAGTACCACTTCCGGTTATCGGAAATCGCTCAAAAGTTGATACGGATCTACGATTTTGATAAAATACTTATATATGAAATTTCATCAACCTAGCTGTAACGGTACTCAAGTAATCGTGTTTACACACAGACACACACACACACACACACAGACATACGGACAAGATTGCAAAATTGTGTTTTTCCGTATCAGTGAGGTGTAAAACGTCCAGATTTGTAAAAATCTCGATTTTTTTTTTTTGCACGATAACAATACTTTCTCTATACTTCGTATATACGAGAAAGTAAAAAAAGGAACAAAATAAAAATATTTCTTGATCAATGCAAAAAACCCCCAAAAAAAATAAACCGGTAGTGATCTCCCCTAAACTTTCTCGAATATTCTTATATAAAACAACAGGGGATGGTAACTGGGGATATAGTTATGATTTTTAATCCATTTTAAATACTTAAACTTTTAAAAATAGAATAGAATCTCATAAAAAAAACATTGCGCACCAAGCAAACGCCGAATAAAAACGCGTATAATAGTGCGCAATATTATTAGTACTTTAAAAATTTACATTAGTTTTTTGAGAAATCGGAAGTAGCGTAAATTACTACTTCCAGTCAACGGAAATTACTCAAAATTTAACAGAAGGTAGAGAATTAGATCTTTTACTTACATGTAAAATTTCATTTATCTATCTGAAATAGTACTCAAGTTATAGGCTTTTAAAAAATTCAAAGTAGGAAAAGTACCACTTCCGGTTATCGGAAATCGCTCAAAAGTTGATAAAATACTTTGATAAAATACTTATATATGAAATTTCATCAACCTAGCTGT